CCGGAGCCCAATGGGTCAAGGCTGCGGTGGCCGGGAGCGGCCACTGCACTCCAGTCTGGGCGACCAAGTGAGACTCCAACTCAAAAACAAAACAAAACAAAATCATGCTAGCCTCCGGGCACAGTGGCTTTCGCCTATAATCCCAACACTTTGGGAGGCTGAGGTGAGAGGACTGCCTGAGCCCACAGGTTCAAGACCAGCCTGGGCAACTTGGCGAGACCTCATCTCTACAATAAATCAATAAATTAGCCAGGCAAAGTGACGCATGCCTATAGTTCCAGCTATTTGTTTGTTTGTTTTTTGAGTTGGAGTCTCCCTCCGTCGCCCAGACTGGAGTGCAGTGGCCGCTTCCGGCCACCGCAGCCTCGCCTGCTGGGCTCCGGTGATCCTTCCGCCTCGGCCTTCCAAGTAGCCTTCCAAGTAGCCAGAATTACAGACCCGCGCTACCACGCCCGGTTCATTTTGATTTATTGTAGAGATGAGGTCTCGCTGCCCAGGTGGGTCTCGAATCCGCGGGCTCAGGCAATCCACTCACCAAGGATAAAAAAGACATAAAGACATATTTTTTAATTAAAATGTATTTACAGTGTATCCTGAGGTTGCTTTAAAAGTACCAATCAGCCGGGCTCGGTGGCTCAGTCTGTAATCCCGCGCCTTTGGGAGGCTGAGGTGAGTGGATTGCCTGAGCCCGCGGGTTCGAGACCCGCCTGGGCAGCGAGACCTCATCTCTACAATAAATCAAAAAATCAGCCGGGCGTGGTAGCGCATGCCTGTAGTTCCGGCTAATTGGAAGGCTGAGGCAGAAGGATCGCCGGAGCCCAGCAGGTCGAGGCTGCGGTGGCCAGGAGCGGCCACCGCACTCCAGTCTAGGCGACAGAGTGAGACTCCCAACTCAAAAAAATAAAATAAAATAAAAGTACCAATCATGTGGCTCAGTGGCTCAGTCTGTAATCCCAGCACTTTGGGAGGCCAGGTTCGAGACCAACCCAGGCAACTTGGCAAGACCTCGTCTCTATAATAAGTAAGTAAAAAATTAGTCGGGCATGCCTATAGTTCCAGCTACTTGGAAAGCTGAGGTGGAAAGATCGTCCGAGCCCAGCAGATTGATGGTGGGGTGGCCATGAGCATGCCACTGTACTTCAGCCTAGGCGACCGAGAGAGACTCCAACACACACACACACAAAAGTACCAACCACAACATACACTTGAAGCTTTTCATTTTAGTACATATAAATTTGAAAGCCTGCTTTGCTGTGCAATGTCAGCATGAAATATTAAATCACGTTGTTCTATTACCTAGCTTTTAATAAAAACTAGAAAAAGATCATGCATGTTAAAACATTTTAAAAACTCAAAAGTTAACATTTTTGAAGCGGTCAAATGTCTAAAACTTCAGCGTTAATATTTAATTTCAAAGTCTGCA